GGTGCATCAGTTTCAGGCACTGCAAAGCGAGCATCCAGAACATCAGAGCGCCTGCTGAATGCTTGCCTAATTAATGAGCTAGCATCCACTGCACCCTAAGCACTGCTAGCTTATTAGGAGTCATGAGGGGACCAGGAGGGCACGGAGGACACTTAGTCTACACTTTGAAAGATCAGGTCACAAATCAATTACTGCAGATTAATTTTATCCTATTAAATAAGTCCACTTCACAGTTTCAATTAGTTTAATTTGTAGGATATTAAGAATTCCAGCACCAGAATTAAATGCATCAAATAATCCACCAAAATACAATCTTCCCAATGCGCTGATCCAAAGGAGGGAAAGGAAATAAGAGTTGTGGTAAACAGGACATGATGTATCTCGAGAGTATGGCCAAAAATTGAGAGATGCTGTTGAGATATTCCTGTAAAATTCCATTATCTACTGTATGGAAGAATGAGATTTTTCTACTGTAAAATATGCAGTCTGTTAGGCAACACTGCAGCAAAAACGGGTTCTAAAAACACATTATGTAATTTAATTCCAAATTAAGAACTTTGTTTAAAACAAAACAAAACAAAACAAAACAACAACAAATCCAAACACCCATTGGTTTGCATTACACATCAGGGATTTTTGGATTTCTAAAGGAAAGGAGTTGTTAAGATAGCTTCCAGTATGGCTCTGGCAGTGTGATTAAAGAATCTTTACAGTGATCTCGAATGCATGCCCGTAACCCAAAAGCTTACTGTTAAAATAAGTTCTTTTCTTTGAGCAACCGGTGGAAACACTGAATACACCCACAATTATGTGTTATAGTAGTGTGGAAGGACTCTCATGACCAGCTCTGGAGCATCCTGAGATACTGTAATCAATTGTCTCTAACCTAGGGCATCTCAGTGTGTAGCAGTGTGCACAGCTCCTTGCATTTTACTGATCTGCTTGGTCTAAAAGTGCCGAGACTCAGGGCATATATTGTAGCTTTCTTTTTGGCAAGAAAATGGTATTTCAACTTCCATTAGTGAGAAGACTTCTAGGAGGGAATTCATTAAGTACTCTTTTGCTGCTGGTGAAAATAATTCTGTAGTCTTCTGTATGTATTAAAATAATCAGTTCTTAGGATATGTGAATATTTTATTATTTTATAAATGTTCTTCTCAGAAACAGATCATATAGAAGAGTAATACTCTCACTTGGCTCTAAATAGCTACCGTTCTTTAAGAAAAAGGTTTGCTAACACTCCTGCTTTAAGAAAATAAAGAAGACAAAGAGAATACATAAATGTATCCATTATAGAGAAAATATTTTGGTATCAAGTCGGGCATACTTGAATATTCTTCCCAGAATGGATCATGTTCATCCAACCATCAATGAAATACAGATTTCCATATCTGCACAACTCTTTCACCTCAGTTCTGTGCAAATGGAGCTGTAGTGAATGTTGCAGATAGCGGAAAGGTGGACACCAAAGAAGAGGATTCACTAACTAACTCAAACAAAAAGTTACCTTCTCTTGTTCTCACTCTGACGGGAAAGTACGTTGCAGAGAACAGTTTCTGTATTTTATTATTTCATAAATCACTGCTTGATGTGAAAGAAGTTTGATGAAAGAATCACTAAGTAATGCAACAAAATATGCCTTCATCCACAAAAAAGAAATAAAAAAGCTGTTTGTGGGGCCCATGCTCCCCAGGAGAGCAAATACTGGGAGCTATCACTAGCAAGTTGTTGGCCAACTGAGATAAGTTTAGCAGAAAACTATGAAGCCAAGCAGCACTGAGTTCAGACAAGCATTAGTTCCCTTAACATCACTGTTTCCTGCAGAAAAATGGGCACAGAGAAGTTCGGTGTGAAATACAAACCAGCCAAAGTCTGGAAGTTCACACTTTTCAGGACGTGACTTGGATTTTTTGCTGGACTCTTTCAAAAGCATCCACCCACAGTATTATCAGTGTAACGCAGAGCTTGCTGGCAGCTAAAAATGTTCAATTTTTGGCTTCTGCAAAATGTACACACCACTGAAGAACAGGGATTTTTATCTTCCTAAAGAAAATAGAAGGTACAAACCAAGAGAGTTTGCATCTATTAATGCCCTGATTTTACTATGTTCCTTGCCAATTTTAAACTGGAAGAGAAGAAAATGACATACTACAGCATTACCCATTTCAAAAGCATCCTGTTAATAAGTTTTCTTTGTTACAGATGTTGGATGAAAACTTCCTTTTTTAAAAACTCTTACTTAGGATGGTTCATGTTAAAAATCTTGGGATGGCTTGAGAGTTCCAGCTCTGCCATTGTTTAGGAAAACAAACCATAAATAGGAACATTCACCAGGGAATTAATTCTTGAATTTAGTTAGTTCAGGTCATTCTTGGATTAGTGTTAGAGGGGAAAAAAATCTCTTTATCCATGGAAAGTTTACAAAAATACACCACAGTTGTTCCAGTTGAGAAGGAAATGGTGGCCCTGTGACAGAGCCTGTGCCTCGCTGCATTCCTGTGCAGAGGTACCAGGTACAAAGCTGCGATAATCGTTATCTGCTTCCCTCAAAACCAGGAGCCTGTAGTACATCAAAAGTTCAGAAAAGTAGGGATTAGAAGATAAGTCAAAAGACTAGACATCAACAACTTAACAGATGCAGTTACTACATAGCAAGAAAAGGTTCTGTAAGTAAAGCAGAGGGAATTTCAGGGCAAGTAAGGCAGTATGTAGATGTTGGAGAACCCCTTGGCAATAAAAAGGAAACGTTCAGTAGCCCAGGCCAGCAAGTACACAGTAAAACCATGAGCTGAGTCATGCCAACAACTGCAGCTTTCTGTCAAACTTGGGACGTTCCCTCTGGAGCAGAAACTAGTGCATTATCCTCTGTGACAAAATGTCCATTATAATGGACCCCCAGTGAGAAGATTTGGTCTGTGACTGATTCAAAAAGAGCTGTATGTACTTAGTCGTGCAAAGCCTGTTTAAATATTGTGACAGGTTTCTGACAACTCTGGAGAGCTGGAGATGAGAGGGAGATGGAACCACTGACATTAACCATTTCTGCAGGCTGATTATTCCCAAAGCAGGAACAGACTGCACACCATTGCAGCTTTTTTTGTTGTACAGCATCTTCAATAAGGAGTTTAAATAATGTCCCCCGTGACACAGCATTGGGAAAAGGGCTGTTTCTGGGAGGACATGTGCTGAAGGAACAAGGCTAGGCAGGAAAGCTGAGCCAGATGTGCTGGATCAAATCCCAGGAAACTTAACAGAGCCCTTGAAGATGCCTGCCCAGGATCAGAACTAGCAGGTTGGGTATCTGCTAGGTTCTTTTTCAGCAAGTCAAGTATGTTTAAGAAAAAAGGCTGGGAAGACCTCAACTGCTCTAATCTCTGAGAAACATGAACAGACATAGGGCATGCTGTACCAATGCTTTTCACACCACTTTGATCCTGTGCGCACACAACACACTTGCAGCATGATCCTGGTTATATTCTTAGGCTGTGATTGTTACTTCAATATCCTGGTGTCCCTTAGAAGCTGGAAGAAACCTGACAGATCTCAGAAATCCTTCATCTGGCATTTCAATCAAGGCAGCTGCCTGAAAGCTTCCCTAGCCAAACTTAAGAGCTGTAAGAAAGTGTTTTTCTCAGCCAAGTCTTTATAAAGCTTTCCTTATACATCCTGCACTCATCCCTTACAACAGTACACTTTTATCTGCTCACTGTGACTTGCCAGATTCAGTCTTTGCCAGACGCAGGCTTTGAAGGACTACAGCTTTTGTCTGTGCCTTTTTTGCTCCTTAGACATTCAAATTTACTTTCAGTTAACTTTTATATCATTTTTTCAAGAACATTCTACAGAGTAATGGAAATCTACTATTGGCTAAAGAGTTGCACCCATCTGACTAGGATACTGAAAACAGGACTGGCCCCAGGAACGGTGCATTCTGCACTGACCCATTCCAGGCAGAATTTGGTAAGAGGTAGCAGCAAATCTCATTTCAGTTGTGTTTCTTTTAACTATCTATCTGAACTTTCAATCAATCCACCCCATTTTTTTATTGAACACAACTGCTAAAATAGTTGCCGTGGCCCATTTTACCTTGTCCTAGCTAAAATGCATGGAAGACCTTTTAAGAGGCACAGTGAAAACTAATTTATAGGCTTACACATATTTAAAGCTACAACATACTCTTACACATTCTGTATTTAAAAAAAGTCTTTATTATCTTAGTACTGCAGTATCTTCTTGTGGTTTGTAATAGCTTTCTAATATATTTATCAGCCAATTCCCAGTTGCTATCATCACTGAGTATTGGTGACATGCACTGAACACACTTGATTCCACTTTCCAGCACAGGCCTTCTGTGTCCCAAGCACCAAACCAGCTCTTCCTACATGGAGTGTTTCTTTTAACCTCTTCACTGTCATTTTGAAATCTTTCCAGTTAATCAGCTGGTCGTGCTTAAATAAGTACAGGCTACAGGAAAATCAGCTGACACGGCTGTCAAGTTGTTATTTTGTCACCATGACTGTAAGTTATATGTTAGATCACATTACCTGACATAGAAAACACCATATCCTTTGACAAACCAAATTATCAAAACCAAAATACTAACCAAACCAACCATCTGAATCACACAGCAAAACTTATAGGAAATTATAGTTCTATTTTTATCTATGCCTTAACAGGGTATTTCCTGTTACCTTAGGCAGAAGAACTGTGAATAAAACCCACATATGTTTCCATATCAGCAGCACTTTGTATTATATCTTAATCTAGATTTTTAGAACCACGGAAGAAACATGCTTCTTCAGTTTGAGCTAGTGCATTTAGTATTATTCTGACAAACTTAAGGAGAGAAAGTGGCATATGAGAATTCCCCTGAGGAAAATGACATTGTCAAGTTTCCTTTCAGGGGGAGAGAACATGAGCCCAGAAGGGAAAGGAAGTAAGGAAGTTACTGCTGATGCTGACATGAAAGGAGAAATGTTCTGGATACACCTGAAACTTACCAGTACTGTTCGCCCTTGGGAAATAAAGAAATGGCCAGATACAACAATGGTGAGGATAAGATGGCCTGATTCTTCGTTCGATTCAAAAACCTTTAAAAAGATAAACAGAAAAACAAAACAAAACAAAAAAAACAACAAAATCTGTACAAACAGAATATGCATTTTCCCTTTCTAATGAAAAATAAAAGGTTGTGAAGTGGGATATTAGAAGTCAAGTGTGCAATTCTCAGTCATGCAACAGGTCCTCCACTCCCACAGACAGGAGGCCCATTTTTACTAATTCTAATTCCATGTACAGATTTAACTACTTCAAAGAAACATGGAGACTCTTCCAAATTGATCTCTAGTTTCTAATACCACAGGTCACTGCTGAAGGAAGGAATAAAAAAAAAGTGGGTCACTGTCATATCATTGGTGTGTTTGGGGAGGATGCTGGTGGGAAAGCTGAGAACCTGGGGCTCTTTAGCCTGGAGAGGAAAGGACTAAGAGGTTATCTGATCAATGCTCATCAATAGCTAAAGGGTGGGAGGCAAGAGGATGTGGCCTTGCCCAGCGATGGGGTCACAGGCACAAACTGCAACCCAAGAGGTTCCATCTGAATATAAGGTAAAACAACTTTGCTGTGAGGGTGCCTGACCCTGGAGCAGGTTGCCCGGGGGGGCTGTGGGGTTTCCTTTTTGGAAAAGGTTCCAAACACACCTGGATGCCATCCTGGGCACCCTGCTGTGGGGGACCTGCTGGAGCAGGGGTGCTGGATGAGTTGCAGCGGTCCCTTCCAACCCCACCATTTTGTGGTTCTGTGCGCTTACATTAGCAATTCAGGAAGTAAAATCTCTCCCGATTCCTGCATGAACCCTGCATTTTGATGGTTGGACTTGCTGCTCTTAGAGGTCTTTTCCACCCTTAATGATTCTAAGATGCTTGCAAAAACCTCACTTAATACTGCTCTCTACCCAGCCGCCTCCCAGCACACCCACGGCCGGCAGCCGCGCACCGCGCGTCACCTTCCAAGAGGAGGAGCTCTCCCCGTCCTCCTCGACCTCCCTCGGCGGCAAGAAGCGGCCGTA